AGGCGTGGTTAACTCTTAACTTTTATAAAGAATATCTCTTTGGATTTGAGACTTTAGTCTTTGCAACTTTACAGATCTTCTTTATGCACCAAGAGCTTGTAACACTCCAAAGAGAAAGGAAAAATTGAAATCGCATCATATGACCCCTTTAAAGCACTGTATGTTTATGACTTGATTTTTTGTCTGCACAAACATTACTGCTACAGTGATGATGTGTTGCTGTGTCTGCAAGGTGTTCAGGGTGATTTAGTGCAGTACTAGTCAGTTGCTAATCTGTTATTAGTGGTTGCTTACTGGTCCAATTCAAATCAAAAGACCTTTATGTTCCTTCTTGGCTCAGGTTACTCTTTTTCACCCACTTTATTCACCAAATTAATCGCAAGTCTATAAAAGTTCAATTTGAAATCTCTTGCATGTCTGTAACCCAAAACAAAGATTAATACTTTGTAGGTTAATATGTATAGCAGGTTTAGCCGTTTTGGTCAACTCTGCTATGCACTACTAATGATATTGTAATTATGAACCATATTTAATAAATCACTAGCTAATAGTTGGTCTTGCAAAATCTAAAAGACTAATGAAATAAAGTGAAGCAAAACAACAAATCAAACTTGTCCGATAAGAATTTCTTATTATTCCAATAAAAAATACATTCATACAGAAATATAACAATTTAGCAAAACAATTTCAAAGAAAATTCATATAAAGCAAAAAACAAATAAAAATCTTAGAAAAATTTATTTTTTTTCATCCCAACGTTTGTGTTTTTATTCTTTTGTACAAATATGCTTTATACAAGTGGGATTCATGAGATAGAAAAGATAAGTGATAGAACGTGTTGGTTGAAGCAAGCAAATGGAAAACTTGATTAAGGCTCCATTACCACTCGACTAATATTGGCCACTGTTGGAAAGACACAATGTTCTTGACCCACAAAACCCTGGCTGGTCTGATTTAATGGCAGCACAAGCTGCTTCAAGTTACTATCTACGTAGCTGCTCGACATGCAACAGTGTCAAACCTCCATCGCTCAAGAAACCAGAGCAATTGAACTCAAATAATTCAAGCATATAACTATGTACAATAAATTTAATCAATCGTTTGGTCCCTGAAAACATCTTTTTCTATATAACGATTTAGCCTACAAATTTTTTCTTGCATGTCATGTGCGGGGCTCCGTACCACAATACTGTCGCAGGACTAAAACAACGGCATCCAGACAGGTCAATATCAAACTGCCCGAGTCAGCAGTCTGTAGCAGGCAGGGCCTTCAGCAATTCATTACAGAGAAGCAGTACAAGGCAAGGCCTGTCTAATTGCAGCTTGTTAATTACAATAAACCTTTAGGCATTTTCCCACTCCCTTTATTCTTGGTTACAGGGGACCACAGGGGGGGTTGGCATTCCACAAACTTTCAGCCTTGTGATATACAATGGCCTGTTTTCGCATTTTAAGAGCTTTTTGCCTTGCACACACCTCCACAGATAGAGATCTTGCATCTAAAGCGTATTCAAAACGTTCAGTAGATACTAAATCTGTAACTTTAAGTGCTATACATTGCAGATTTGACAACATCAAGAAATGTGAGGGCAAATATTAATGACAAAGAATGAAACCGCATGCTCAAGAATAGCAATATATATTACGTATCTACAAGGGCTTGGTTACAGTGGCCTCAGAAATGGGAAAGGTGCATGTTGAGGTGAAACAGAGCCTTAATAAAGCTTTTTCAATCACTTATACGAGACATTTTGTGACCCCCAAAGGGAAAGGTCACTTGCATAAGGCACCATTAAGGCCAACAGTGCATTAACAACAGATAAAAGAGAGAATTTAGTTTTCAAGATGACAAAACGAGTCTTGTATGAAATGGTCAATGATCGATGGGATTCTTCCCTCCACCAGAAAGAAAAATGAGGGAGTTTGATCAATGAGTGGAGAATGTTCAATGCGTTTATGTACAATATTGTAACATTTAACCCAATTGTATTTAGCTGCGCTTTATTGGAATCTATCTGCAGTCCCAATTACAAAAAAAGAAAATGGAAAAAAAAAAAAAAAAAATTTACAAACCCCAATACCATGCAACACCTGTTTGTGATAGTGAAGTTATAATTGTGTTACATCTCTAAGCACACAGCTTATACAACGGACTACAAATGAGCTTTTGTAGCCTGTCAAATAACAAGCTACCGAACACATTGCACATTTAGTAGCTGCACCGAACACCAAAAAAGCCACTTTCATTCAGGACCGAGTTTCCGCCCCCTTTAGATGGGGGCAGGGGGTGAAACCCTGGCCGCTACGCCCCCCAGAATCCTGGAGCCCGGGGGCATCAGGCAGGAGTTCTCAGTCTCACGGCTTCACTCACGGTTCTCGCATACCACGTGGAAACAAAAATGGAACTTGTTCCCTGACACCATTCAGCCCACAGCAATACACTGGTACCCCCCTCCCACCCTTCTTCGCACACAGGACATTCATCCGCTCACGTCAAACAGGATCTCTTTAGGATTTGTTTTAAAGTACCAGTGTATAGTCCAGGAGTTGTCCCGAAACATCATGCACCATACAACACACCATTCATTTGCTCTTTTTTTGCTTTTTTTTTTACTTTTTCATTTTTTTTTTTTTTATAAATCATCCTCGGTTCTTCATACGTGATTTTGTCCTTTCCTTTTTTCGTTTCAACAACCAGTCAGTCCGCCTTTATCCCGGGGCTCACGGAGGCACAGGATATGGTGCAAAATGGCATGCTTTGGCTGGAACACACTCCCCCCATTTCTTGCAGGGCCAGGTCAACCAGGAAGCTGGTCAGGACACAACATATCCCCAGCGTGAAGCTGCGGCCCGCTCAAAGGTGCCTCTTCATGTGCAGGGCCAGGTGGTCCGACCTGGAGAAACACCTGGAGAAAGAAACAGCGAGAGGAAAGGTGAAAAACAAGGTCAGGCGGGGGCCACCGAAGTCATAAAGTGTGATCAAAGGTAGAGATCTGTGCATTGCGTCACTGATGAGGCCCCTAATGGCCCTCAAGCTGAATTTGTCAAACAGGAATAGGTGCTATGAAGACTAATGAAAGGAAAGGTTGGTTATGAGCACAACCAGAGAGAATTAGCATTTTCTGTGCAGAATTATTTTTTTTTTGGAAACTTATTCATTTTTTTTTTATAAATCATCCTCCTCTCTTCGATTCTTCATACATGATTTTGTCCCTTCCTTTTCTGTTTCAACAACCAGTCAGTCCGCCTTCATCCCGGGGCTCACGGAGGCACAGGATATGGTGCAAAATGGCATGCTTTGGCTGGAACACACTCCCCCCATTTCTTGCAGGGCCAGGTCAACCAGGAAGCTGGTCAGGACACAACATATCCCCAGCGTGAAGCTACGGCCCGCTCAAAGGTGCCTCTTCATGTGCAGGGCCAGGTGGTCCGACCTGGAGAAACACCTGGAGAAAGAAACAGCGAGAGGAAAGGTGAAAAACAAGGTCAGGCGGGGGCCACCGAAGTCATAAAGTGTGATCAAAGGTAGAGATCTGTGCATTGCGTCACTGATGAGGCCCCTAATGGCCCTCAAGCTGAATTTGTCAAACAGGAATAGGTGCTATGAAGACTAATGAAAGGAAAGGTTGGTTATGAGCACAACCAGAGAGAATTAGCATTTTCTGTGCAGAATTAGCAGAGAAAATGAGCAGTTTCGTATTTATAATGAAACATCTGTGAAAATATGCCGAAGAGATTTAAACTTGTTGTAATCTGTGTTAAAATGGGTTTATATACATAAGGCATCACATGCCATGTGCCATCTTTTTTTTTTTTTTTTTTTTTAAAAGGGGGTTTATAGCAGTCAGAGAATGACATAATAGCTGTAAAATAAATATATTATGAAAATTAATCATTTATAAACAAATAATAATGTTTTATTAAAAAAAAAAAAAAAAATTAACAAATGACTATGAACAAACGACCATGTCCAGATACGATTCAGAATGATGATTAAAGCATAGATGAAGTTGATCGCCTCCATCATCACCCCCCAAAGCTTTACAGTCCTAAACCACTTACTGGGTCATCATTTCATTCGGTAACATTAGGCAGTTTTGATTTATATGTAATTTAATGTTTGATGGTTGAGTTATTGTACATATGTGTCTGCTTGCAGTACATGTGCAGTTGCTTGTTTCTGTGTCTTCGCCCTGTATTTTGATCCAGAGATTCTGTACTTTCAGAAGATGTATAATAGCACCTCCTACCGTATAACAGTTAAAATATATTATGAAAATTAATCACTTATAAACAAATAATAATGTTTTATTAAAAAAAAAAAAAAAAAAGGATAATGTATAATGCAATTTGTTAACATTTTCCTGACAATTTTATGTTGCTACAATTTGTTTTTTATTCATATATATATCTTTTTTTTTTTTTTGTGGTGGGGTTAGCACAATAACTTTTATTGGTATCTGCAAGTATTAAAAATATTAAATCAGCCAAAGTTTGCTGAACTTTATGAATGAGGGGTGTTCAGATTCTGCAAAAACAAAACTGCTGGCAGAGATTCTGTGTGGGACTGGATATGAGGAAAGCCTTGATCAAATGTTTTGTTTTAAAGGAGAACGACGAAATGTTTCGCATCCAGTAACCACGGAAAACAAAACGCCAAAAAGGGAACTTGAGCAAACAATGGTGTTCAAAGCGCAAAGCTCTCAGGGAGGGAAATGATTAACAGAGGAAGTGATGACAAACAGGAGAGGCGCGTTTGTTCATAAAACAGAGAATATCAATAAAGTATTGCGACAGAGTGACTATTGCGCTTTCAAGCATTTAATGCGATTAGGTAATTAGGTGCTAAAATCCAAACATAATGGGGCGACTCTCGTCGCTGAACCGATAAAACCGAATCAATGCCGAATCCGTCGCGTTTCTCTGATGCATGCATCAAAGGATCAGGTATGCAGCGAGAGAGAGAGAGACAGACGGGCTTTGATGACTGTCACAGGGAGAGATAGTGAGAACTGAGCGTACCTGTCACAGTGACTGCATTTAAATGGCTTTGCACCGGTGTGCTTCCTGAAGTGTCGGGTTAGCTCGTCGCTCCTCGCAAAGCGCCACTCGCAGCCTTCCCATGAACACCTGTACGGCTTCTCACCTGTAAACAAAAACACAAACACCTTTCAGCTGGGAAACATTCAGACGTCTGAAAGGAATGTGAAATAGCGTGCTCGGTAATGCTCTCAAAAATGCATCTGTAAACCTGATTCAGGTCACACAGTCTACGGGACGAGTCTTAACTTTAATAAGATCCCTCAAGCTCTCAAGTATTGCGAGAATGCACGGTATGCCAAAAGTCTGTCTCTATGCTTTGTGTGCATAAACAGTGTGCGGAACAATGCGTGTCACACAGAGCCCGTTTTGAATGCGACGGGGCCCTTTAAAAAGGGGGCCACCCAGATCCCCATTCAAAAGCCTGGATCTTTCCCATGACGAAACCAAAACTGTTTTGGTAGAACAGGTTGTTTTCACCCTGGCTGCCTTTCGTTCCCTTCCCCCATTCGATCCCCCCTCCTTCCTGGCCATGGTCACATTCCAAACAGATTAGGTCACTGTTTAGGCGTGCAGTCATGCAAGGCACATATTCACAGAGTGACATTAGCCTTGCAGCTGAGGGCAGTCTGTGTGAACTCAACTCCATTACACAACTTCGCAGGAGACGTGAAACCTCAGTGAAGTGCGCGAGGCTCTGCTTTCTGTTTGATAGAGACAATGTGAAGCAACATCACAGCTAACAGCGAAGGTTCTTACCTGTGTGAGTCCGCTGATGTGCTTTTAAGTGAGAACTCTTCGTGTAAACCTTCCGGCAGCCGTTGAAGTGACACCTGTGCACTCTCCTCCTGCCGTCCGGAGAGGCGTCCCCTCCTGCGGAAGCCTTATCCGAGGCCTTCCCCAGTCCGTTTTGCCGGATCTTCACCGGCACGTGCAAGTCAGTCTGCGTGGAGCCCCACACCTGCGGGACACCGGGCTCCTGGGGCGTCTCTGGCGAGGACGGAGGCGTGCTGATGATAGAGGAACTCAAGTGATGTGCTGACTCCGTCAGAACCGAGCCCAGCGGGTTGGAAGTAAAGATGTGAGTGGGCGAGAGCTCCTCCGAACTGTCAGACGCCTCGCTGCTGGCATCCGAATTCATGCTGTTGGTTTCTAATATTTGGCAGTCCTGATTGTCATCCTCCTTGACGCTGGGAAGGTTGCCGTTCCCATCTCCCTTATCTCCACAAGCCAAGATAAGCTTGCTCCAAAGATCCTCCTGGCCCTCAAACTTGAGGTCAGACGCAGAGACGTACGGCTCACTCTGCAAATACCTCTCCAGCTCCAAACAGGTCTGATTCAAAACAGAAAACACAGTGTTAGAATGCACATGACCAACTTTCACAGCTGACTACCAAGGGTTAGTTTGGGTTAACCACACTCCAATCTGCACTTTCACACGTTTTCTGCTGAAATATGTACAACTGTGTCATGTTGAAACATTACGGAGTATGTAAGGCCAAATCAAATCAGTATTTTAGGTATAAATATGGCTTTGCGAGCTGTATATTGTCTTGCTGGAACAGTTATCCCCTAGTGAGTCATGCAGACATTTCAGAGTCCTTTTAAGGAAGCCACAGAACTTCCTCGGTCGAGTTTCCTCATTCAAACAGCCTGACGTCCCCTCAGCGTACATCTGGACGCATGTTAAACCCATTTTAACGCGTATTAAGTGTGAACATACCACATTTGAGTGCTGAAGTGGTTAGATAAACACTTTAAACTGTGTTTTTCCCTCTCGGTATGAGCATTTAGCTGTGCGGTTTAGCTCCGCCCATCCTCGATAACCACGATGTTTACTGCGCAGTAGCCTACATATGGCCCGAAGAATCTCAAGTTACTGATTCTACAGACTCCCCATCAGGTAAAATGTGTATTCCTTCAAGCGGTAGTTCAGACTTCTATCATTAATTCAACATTATTTCATTTCCACGAAATGTTAAGTAGAATGACAAGTCTCAGTCACCATTCACTTTCGTTGCATGGACCAAGATGCAATGCAAAAGTGAATGGTGACTGAGACTGCATCCTGCCTAACATCTCTTTTTGTTTTCCTAGGAAATAAATACATCTGGAACAGCATAACGGTGAGGAAATTATTTGAGATTTTCATTTTGGCTGAACTATAACTTTAACAGCCTATGCTGGGAAACATTAAGCAACTAGATGCAAACGCATGTTTAAATGCCAAGAGATGCGTTCATATGGCACCGTGCCAGAATCCCCAAAAGCCTGAAGGGAAACAACCTGGATCGGTTTCAACTGAAACATTCATACGATCGTGCCAAGAATACGACTGCAACAGTTCAGTCACATGGATATCAATATCAAGCAGCAGAACCTGCTATGACGGTTAATAAGCACCTCCTATAAACCCCGTTATGTGACAGAACATGTTCTGCAGACGGTCAAATCAACCAGTCTACATATGATTTATTTTCCTTACTAAACTGTGCTTCTTACGGATTGTAGTGCAATATATATCTGACTCGCGAATCGCGACTCTCCAAAAAGTGAAAAAAAATGCTCTGTATGCCAAAACAGGGTTAATAATTCAGACATGATTGACAGCATTTACCGCGCAACCATGTAACCGAATTAAATACGCCACTTAGAATGTAACAGTTTAATTCAACGCGGCGCTTCGCGGATTGTAAATAACTGTTTCCAGTTTAAAGACAGCGAAATCGAACCACAAACTCTCCGTTCGCCAATCACAGCGGAAGTTTGATCCTTTTCACTTTAAAATTGTTACCTGTTGCCAGTATTCTTCAAGCGATGGCAATGCAGAGAAATAGCCAGTGTCATGAACGATCTGAAGTTCCTGAAATATGCTGCACATTGGTAGAACATCCATTGCAATCCCAAGTATCAGGCAATAAAAGACAGAAAAAATATATATATATTGATGAATCAAAGATAAAGTGTGACAAGCAAGCGTCCTCTTCGTGCAATAGCAACGAAGTGCAGCCGTCGCTTTGCTCAGAGTCCGCTAGTCCGTCTGTTGAGATCACTCTATATTTGCAAACACTGAACTCACGCAAAGCGCTGCGCTCTGTCAACTTCCCCTATTCAAACTTGTAGCCTGCCTACTCCCTCGTGATAGCGTGACGTTCCCTCACAGCGCGTCCAATCAGATGCGAACAGGTTGCGCGGGCGCATATGATATCACTTTAAGCCAATCGCAGCGGCGTGCGGAGTCAAGTCCGTCTTGCTGGTGCTGTGATTGGTATATTCAACTGAACGGACCTGCACGCTGATTGGACGATATTTTTAGAAGCGTATATAAAGGCCCTGCGCTCAAACCACTCATTTCTTCTCCGTTCGCCAATCACAGCGGACGTTTTCTCCATTTCACTTTAAAAATTGTTACCTGTTGCCAGTATTCTTCAAGAGATGGCAATGCAGAGAAATAGCCAGTGTCATGAACGATCTGAAGTTCCTGAAATATGCTGCACATTGGTAGAACATCCATTGCAATCCCAAGTATCAGGCAATAAAAGACAGAAAAAAAATATCTTGATTAAACAAGGACAAATTGTGACAAGCAAGCGTCCTCTTCGTGCAATAGCAACGCAGTGCAGCCGTCGCTTTGCTCAGAGTCCGCTAGTCCGTCTGTTGAGATCACTCTATATTTGCAAACACTGAACTCACGCAAAGCGCTGCGCTCTGTCAACTTCCCCTATTCAAACTTGTAGCCTGCCTACTCCCTCGTGATAGCGTGACGTTCCCTCACAGCGCGTCCAATCAGATGCGAACAGGTTGCGCGGGCGCATATGATATCACTTTAAGCCAATCGCAGCGGCGTGCGGAGTCAAGTCCGTCTTGCTGGTGCTGTGATTGGTATATTCAACTGAACGGACCTGCACGCTGATTGGACGATATTTTTAGAAGCGTATATAAAGGCCCTGCGCTCAAACCACTCATTTCTTGCCGACGGAGTGTCACACGCGCCTCGGTTTGGCCAGTGCGAGCGCTGTGAGCAATCGGTTGCTTCTCCTGGAGAACTTTAGAGTGTTGAAATACGTTCGTTTTCCATTTGAGTTGTTTTTAGCTCCCTTGAGTAACTTCTACAAACAAAATTATGGCTTTGGAGAAGTTTCAAGCATTTTTCAAATACCTAAAATATAATGTCCCCAATACTCGACAGATATCAGTGAAGTGAATGTCTCATACTGCAATAAAATCGCCCTGTAGGCCTTGTAAACATTGAAAAATCTCTGAACAGCACACAGCTTTATTAAGCAATCGTAAATGTAGCCAATAAGATACACTGTGTGCAGGTCAGACATCATGTTGGCTTACATGACTTTTTATCTGCATTATAACCTTCACATCTTTCTCTATTAATGGCAATTCAAAAGTAGCCATGCATTATGATGGAATAGTTTTTTTTTTAACAACATTATAATACACATAATTTATAACGTTTTTTTTTTCTTCTTCTTAAAAAGTGAAATGAATATATTTGTCTTTGACTGATCAGTCAAATGTTCCTGGCGTCATAACAGACAAGTATCATATACATTAAATGCACTCTATTTGGTGCCTAATTAGAAATGATTGAAAAGTGAGTAACAGTGTATTCTTAATTGTGAAAATATGTTAATTAATGTCTTTTAAATTACATATCACATTATGGACTCCTTCTGGGCATCATGTGCCAGCCAAGCAGTTGCCTTTGAAATGAATAGGAATCCTAAAAGATAGCTTTCTCCATACATTATAGACCTCACTTTAAGGTTACATTAAGGTTCTTGTTCTCCATTTGTTGTTGGAGGATACGTTGAATAATCAAATAAACAAAAAACCTCACATATAAATCACTAATGTTGCTGTAGCTGCAGATAAAAGAGTGAAATTTGGCCAGAGCACATTGCGCATGACTCTGGTAAATGAACACAGCCTAGTGAGGACAGCACTGCCCAGTTGACTTGTGCCCATTCTTTAAATAGCCACTTGTTTGGGGTCTGTCTGGCCTAAGTAAGAGGTGAATGATGAACTTAATTTGTCTGTTTGGTTACTCGGGCTAAACATAACTTCTGGTTTAGTAGGCCAAATCTGGCAGTGGGTTCAAGTTTAAAAATACTTAACTGATATAAACAGTGCTCGAAAAAAAAATCGTATATATAGTACAGGACACCTTGAATCAAAACGAGGTTATGTTCTTAATGCAATACTAGTGTACTACATACTCCACAGTAAATACCATTAAACAGTATTCAGTGAAAAACATTTCACAGTGTAGCATGCTACATTTTATTGCATGACCTCATTATCCAATTTTGTGTGAAGTACATGGAATTACATTCAGATAATGAATTGAGAAGGAGATAAGTTGCGACTGATATCATTTCTGGTTCATTCATAAATGGAAATGGAGAAGTGGAGCACATTGCATTGTGGGATACAATATTTTGTGCAGTGCGTTCAAAAATGCACATTCTGGGAAATACAGTAATCTGGGTATTCTAACCATACAAAATGCATATTGCACCCTGAATATTCCTGAAGCAATAAGAGTATTATATTACATGAAACTGAATCTGTAGTAATTCATTCATTTTACCTTGGTTTGAATAAAGTCACTTTTTACAAAGCGAATCATTGAATTTCAAATATGGATGTGTAGTTCAGTGTAAAACAAATCAAAAGGAATAACTATCATGCACAGATTCCACTCTAGCATTCTTCACTTAGTGAGATGTCACATTTTTCATGCTCAAAATGAACTGTGCATAGACAAATATACATATATATGGGTATATTCCCCATTCAGTGGATGGATAATTGTTTTAGATGATCGATTTGTTTTTGAAACAATTGATTTAGCCTTTACGGAGTCATCTTTTGTCTTTTTTAACACTAGCGATTCACATAGTCTCAAAGTAATCACTTAGTTTTCCGGAATGGCTCTGAAATTGAGAGATACCTCTTTTATTGCTTGCATAAGACATGCGTGTAAAGTTAATTTACACACCAATCTGGCCTCCCGTCCTCTGAGTTCAGTAGAGATGTTGCAAACAACATTTCCAGAACAGAGTGCCATTGTCCAGCGCTACAGTATAGTCTGGTGCTAACCTCTGGAGAACTGAGTCCCCATTGTAGCTCTCAGCTGGGGCCATATTTGTAACTCGTAGCATCTGATTCAGTCATATGGTGGTGTCTTTGGAACTGCAGTGCCTGGCCATGATAATCATTTGAAGGAATTTTTGAGCTGCCTGTCATAGGGGAAGTGTTGCAACTGTTAATCATTGGCAAAGGTCAGACATTCCGGACAATGACTTTGTCCAGTCTGCTTTTGAACTGAAAGAGTGCCATTGAGGCCAGTCTGTCACTCTGGACCTCAGCGTCTGTCCTTTTAATCCCATTGAAATTGAACTGCAACAATGAGTTGCAGTTTAACAGTGCATCTTAATGTCAAGCTTTACACCGCCTCGCGTTAAGCTGATCTGAGCATTCGGGCTGTCATAACTGAGACTAAACAGAGTGAGAGTCATGTGACCCGGTACCCAATGTGAATTGAATGAGAATCCTTTGGAGTCTCTACATGTGGCTATTGACTAACGAACCAAACAGCAACACAGCGGCGATGTTGTGCAACAGCAAAGCAATCCACAGTGGAAAGCTGCCACTTTACTGTCTTTTCATCCCCATTCATATTGCCCGAGCGCATTATCCAGAGGGATGTTTCATTAAGCAAGTGTCCAGAAAATACTCTGGGGTGGGCCCTGGCAGCCTTTATCTCTTTTAGCAAGGTTCTAAACTCTATCATCATTATGCAACCCTCCCCGAACAGTAGCCACAGGAAAGAGCAATTACACACAGGGTCCATTTTAATACATCAATGTCAGTACAATCAGTAAGTTGTTGCAGGTTGTTCTTTTCCCCTTCTAAGCGATGTGCTGTACAGAGGGCCATTTATCCCGTGAGTACCCATCCCTTGATGCGTGCAAAAACAATTATTGGCCATTCTTTTCAGGAAAAGTTGATCCTGCGAGCAGCGCGCACACATGGGTCAGCAGACAGAGAATAGCCAGAAACTAGTCGCTATGCAAATAGACTGAGACACTAATTAGCCTTAATACAGCGCAGACATGGAACAGGCCAAGCATTTCCAATTGGATTTGCTGAAGCGAGGAAGCGCACACCAATAGCTGTGTTTTATTAAAACAGGACGTGTGCCAAACCAGTTCGGTCTTTCCCCTGAGTCCCCAAAGTGACAGCAATACCATCAATGTCTGTTTTGTTTGTGGTTAAAAACAAAAGACATTGCGTATCTGTGTTTGTTTAATTTGGCTGTACGAAAGCACACTTAAATGCAATTTATTTAGTGTTCATGTTCCTCAATTACTTATTTAATGCATTTTGTGTAGCAATTATCAATTTGAGTGTCCAATAACTTGGCAAACTTGCAAAAAAGCCAATTGTAATTCAGCAAATCATCCCTAAACAATTTATTTTACCAGGTGCATGTAATTGAGATGCATTGCTTTTCATAAGGACACTGAGCGATTGCTTAGGCATTAATAAAATGAGAATAAATTGATTGATTGGGAATCAATGCATAAAAGAGTGAAATTTGGCCAGAGCACATTGCGCATGACTCTGGTAAATGAACACAGCCTAGTGAGGACAGCACTGCCCAGTTGACTTGTGCCCATTCTTTAAATAGCCACTTGTTTGGGGTCTGTCTGGCCTAAGTAAGAGGTGAATGATGAACTTAATTTGTCTGTTTGGTTACTCGGGCTAAACATAACTTCTGGTTTAGTAGGCCAAATCTGGCAGTGGGTTCAAGTTTAAAAATACTTAACTGATATAAACAGTGCTCGAAAAAAAAATCGTATATATAGTACAGGACACCTTGAATCAAAACGAGGTTATGTTCTTAATGCAATACTAGTGTACTACATACTCCACAGTAAATACCATTAAACAGTATTCAGTGAAAAACATTTCACAGTGTAGCATGCTACATTTTATTGCATGACCTCATTATCCAATTTTGTGTGAAGTACATGGAATTACATTCAGATAATGAATTGAGAAGGAGATAAGTTGCGACTGATATCATTTCTGGTTCATTCATAAATGGAAATGGAGAAGTGGAGCACATTGCATTGTGGGATACAATATTTTGTGCAGTGCGTTCAAAAATGCACATTCTGGGAAATACAGTAATCTGGGTATTCTAACCATACAAAATGCATATTGCACCCTGAATATTCCTGAAGCAATAAGAGTATTATATTACATGAAACTGAATCTGTAGTAATTCATTCATTTTACCTTGGTTTGAATAAAGTCACTTTTTACAAAGCGAATCATTGAATTTCAAATATGGATGTGTAGTTCAGTGTAAAACAAATCAAAAGGAATAACTATCATGCACAGATTCCACTCTAGCATTCTTCACTTAGTGAGATGTCACATTTTTCATGCTCAAAATGAACTGTGCATAGACAAATATACATATATATGGGTATATTCCCCATTCAGTGGATGGATAATTGTTTTAGATGATCGATTTGTTTTTGAAACAATTGATTTAGCCTTTACGGAGTCATCTTTTGTCTTTTTTAACACTAGCGATTCACATAGTCTCAAAGTAATCACTTAGTTTTCCGGAATGGCTCTGAAATTGAGAGATACCTCTTTTATTGCTT